GGGTATAGTTTCTTAAAGAGAAAAGAAGCTATACTTACCTCTTGGACACCGCATATACCTACGAAAGGATTTCCTGTACTATGTCATTGTTATAGAGTAAATTAAGAAGGCTTTACTCTGTAACACTAGTAATACTATTTGTTAATAGCAGTATATACTATATAATTTTAATATATATTTATTTCTTTATAACTTAAAATTGCTAAGGTTTATATTTAAAAATTTAAATTAGTTTTTTTCTTATTTAATCTCTATAGATATTATATTATAAAGCTCAAATTCTATATTATTCAATTATCTAATCACAACTAACAAAAAAAAAACTTCTAGTCCCAGTAGTTTTTTAATTTCTACTCTTGGCTTTATGATTTATTGTTCTAACTTGGGTATCTGCAATTACTAAATGCTATTTGTTAATAAGTAATACTATATAATTTAATTCATGAAATAAAAATAAAAATCTATATTCTTTATAAAATTGCTATATATTTATTCCTTTATACTTTAAAACCACTATATATTTATTCCTTTATAACTTAATCACTATATATTTATTTCTTTATAACTTAAAATTGCTATAGGTTTATATTCAAAAATTTAAATTTGTCCTTTTCTTATTTAATCTCTATAGGTATTATATTATAAAGCTCAAATTCTATATTATTCAATTATATAATCACAAAATTGAATGTAGCAAAAAAGATCTATATATTGTTGGCTATATATCCCAAATTAGGTAGAAATGCTGATTCCCAAACCCAAACTAAGTAGAAATGTCATAACTAAAAAAAAGTGTTTGGGCCGCAACTCTAATAATTGAATCATTTATTATTATTATTATTATTTTGAATCAGAACAACTGATTCAAATCAATTTAACAATTAAATCATAAAATCAGAGCTATTGATGCAAAAAATGAATAAATAAAATTTTATAATCAAATAAATAAATTATTTAATTAATATGCATTGACTATCAAAATGGTATTTGGATCATTTGTATGTTTCACATGTATTTGACCATATATTGTTCAGAATAGAGTTGCAATTGAATATAATCTTAAGCTTTATTAAGTTTTTCTTTGGTTGTTAGAGTTAGTTTCATCTGCAATTCTAAAATTCTAGTTCAAATTAAAATACCTAATATGCTGCCTTAACATTTGACTATGTCTTGGCATAATGCTCAACATTTAGTTTACTATTTAAAAAATAAAGCTTTTAAAAGCATCAGTATTTTTTAACAAACTTTATAAATAACCAAATTACTTTCCTGATTATTACAGTTCCCAAAACTTCACTTGTTACTCTGACTGACTTACAAATTACTTTACGTTTATTGTCTATTCTATTATCAACGATTAATACAAAATTATTACTTAGTATTCAATATACATAAATCAATTAAATTAACATACCTATAACAAAAATATCTTTTAAATTTTTAATGCCTTCTTGCAGCACTTGTTTGCGTAATCCTCCTCCTGAAGAATTCATATATAAAGGCAAAAGTTATAAAACTTGTAATAGCTGTAGAGCCACAAGAACTCCTAAAAAAAATTAACCAATTGAGATAATTTCTCTATACAAAATTAGTAACCATATCGCGAATGCAATCGATAACATAGAAAATCAAGCTGAGCTTTCTCTTGTTTTTCAAATTCAACTTGATGATACCACACTTAGTGGAGTTGGTACAGATGTAAAACTTATGGCTAAATTAATTATTAATGAAATAGAGGAAGAAGATGGTTATAATTGGATGTATGTAATAAAATATACAATGTATTATAGTAGATACGAATACGTTACCTTATTTAACTATATACTAATAGATAATATACAGTAGGAATCATAAGTATCCCACCCCACATGATGTGGCGCAGCAAGCAGATAAGCGAAAAAATTTTTTTTTATTTACAAATTTATAATGAGGCATGATCCTCAATACACAGTATAATCACCACCATTTTCTATTAGTGC